CACATACACACACACACACATACACACACACACATACAATTATATATACATACATATGTACGTACACACACACACACATGTTCTGTTCCCATGACATGGTTACCCATAGTTAACTGTAGCATACTTCACTCATTTATCTCAATTGTCTGCAGTTGCATGATATACCACTCAATAAATTAACCTTAAAGACAGTGCAAACCATACTGAAGGCTAAAACTAGGATTTTATCTGTGCTTCAGCGTGCTGTGTAAACAAAACCAGAGTAAGCTTCAAGTAGTACCATAGCAGACACTCATACTTACCAAATATCAAAGCTAGACCATGGGATGTTCCTACGGCTATAAGACTCGATGCTGCCTAAACCAAGCAAAAACAATTAGATTGAGAAGCAATGTATACTTGATGTCGTTCAAAGAATTCATGAGAATTAAAAACCATCACTAGGAAGGAACTGATTCTAGAAGCAACAAATCTTGGGGCGGGGGAAGGAGGGTAAAAATTCAACATCAGCTAAATCAAAGATACTTTATATTAGGTATACCAAAATGAGAGCCAGTTCGATGTAGTGGTTAAGGTGGCGCTGTGGTTACAGTGCAGTACTGCAGGCTATTCTGCTGACTGCAATTTGGCAGTTCAAATTTCACCAGGCTCAAGGTTGACTCAGCCTTCCATCCTTCCGAGGTGGGTAAAATGGGGACCCAGATTGTTGCGGGCAACATGCTGACTCTGTAAACCGCTTAGAGAGGGCTGTAAAGCACTGTAAAGCGGTATATAAGTCTAAGTGCTATTGTTACTGTTATTAAGATATCAGGCTAGAAACTGGGAGACTCCGTTCCAGTCCTGTCTTATGCACAAAGCCAGTTTATTGACCTTGAGCCACTCACTTTCTCTCAGTTCTGAGGAGATGGCAATAGGAAACCACTTCTGAAAAACGTTGCCAAGAAAACTGCAGGAACTGATCCAAGCACTCTCCAAGAAATGATTAATTAAAAGAAAAAATAAATAAATATCAAGCATAAAGAATTCTAAAATTCTTTTCAAACTTACAATTGCAGTGGGTAAACCTGCATCCACTTTGGCCTACAACAATAACAAAAAAACAGAGAGTGAGAAGATTAGCAATTATTTTTGAAATGCAGAATACCTAAAATGATATAACTTTAGACTTACGGGATCCACTTTGTTTTTTTAATCTGAATCCCCAAATCTATCAGCTAGTCTGGAACAAATGATACATACCTAAAGAATCCAGAGGCTAGAAAAAAACCTGAACAAGTCTCTCACATTAAAATCATTCCTGGTTCCAGCCTTTATTTTAGTAACATAAAATAAGGACAATGTATTTGATGCAGTTGTCTAATTAGAAATTTAAAAAATCATTAACTATTGCAATATTAATCAACACACCTAAATAATTTTCTGGATTATTCATGGATTAGAGGATCATGAGGTTTATCATGAAAATAAAATATCCTCATATCAAGTAATTTATCAAAGGTTTACCAATTTGCCTTCTAAGTCTACTCTCTCTAACCATATAAGTGTTCAATTTTTTTTCTTTAGCCCTAAACCTGCAAGATAAACCATCTTCAATGGTTAAAGAAGGTTTTATAGATGTCAAAATATTGCTTTTGTCATGCAACTAGCAGGTGGAAAATGCTTAACCAGCCCCTTTTCTAAGAATCATGATCTAACCATAGCTATTCTAGACAAAAGTAAATTACTGTCCTCCCAATTAAAATATGTTGCTTTTTTGAACTACACTATTCAGTTAATCCTCCTCTACAGTCCCATCAATTTCAGGAGGACAGAGTGTGCAGAAGAAATAACTTTATTTGAGCATAGATTTCCTAGAATGTTGTGTAACAATAAAACATCTCTGCTAAAATCTGTAGGAATAACTTCTGTTTTGGAAAGCATTCAAACAAAAAATAATGATGTAAATGAAACTGCCTTTTATTTTTATTTTGTAAAGCTTGTTTATTCCATTGATAGTAGCTCAATTTTGCCACAACAGTAATACTATAAAATCCCAAGACTTGTAGTAAAAAGGAAATAATTTTACTCCAAATTAGTGTATTATTGATGTTCATTTGCCACAAAGAGCAAGCATAAAGAAAGAGACAAAAGGAACGTACTGCTGCAGATACTATTTGGGTAGAAATACCCTTCAAAAGTGACAGACGTATAACTGAGCCATGGATGGAGAAAGAATCACGGAGTTTCTTCTTTCTATATAAACAATAAAATCAGAACAGCATTTTATTTTATTTGCAAAATGAACCACTACTATAGTCTACAACAGTTTGACAGAGTCTATGTTTTTTAAAAAATAAATCATGCTGAAACAACAGAATCTCTGTAATACCTCTGAAATTACACCTACATAATCACAATAAACACAAGGGTGAAAATATTCAGGCACTTCTGTGTGTGTTTAAAACAGTGGTGGGTTCCTACCGGTTCAGACCAGTTCGGCTGAACCAGTAGTGGTTTGGCAGCCTGGGTTGCTGGAACGGTCAGCGACCCAGGCCTGCCACGGCCCCAAACTGGTTCTCCGGACGGCACTATAGGCACCACCATCTTGTTTTTCAGTTCTGCACATGTGCAGAACAATTTTAATTGGACAGCAAGTGGGTACACAGTGCGCATCAAGTGTGTGCGGGCGTCAAGCGCGTGCGGCCATTAAGAGTGCACGGACAGCGCGCACATGAGCGAACCAGCAGTAGTGCCTGCTGGAACCCACCTCCAGTTTAAAAGAATAATTATGATGCAACAATTGCTCATAATCTAATCTAGAATCCAAGTCAGTACTCATAATTTCCACAATTCTGATTCTCAAAGTATCTAACTGAATTAATCTGCTAACAGTTACCTTTTTAGGTGTGATTTATCTCCACTATCAGAGCTTGCTACTGAAGAAGTATCATATGAATGAGTATCAATGTTATCAATGTTCAGAAGAGAAGGATCCTCAAGAACAAATGGCTCTTCTTCATCATCAGTCTAAAACAAATCATATATAATTTTCTTTAAATCTATATCCATACACCAGTACAGTTATAGTGTCATTTAAAATAGCATTGATTGTATCAGGTTTGGGAATGTTTGTATTTCCCAGGCACACATAAAGCACCTTGCTGAAGTTAAGGCAGGAAATACAAGACTTGCTGATGAAACAGTAAATTTTGGGAGGAAAAAAGACAGACCAAAAAACATAAATAAATGCAATCCTTATTAAATGAGTGTGCATCTTTTAAGGATCCTGTTTTCATTTACTAAAATAATTTGGTCATAGCATTCTAGGAAGTAAAAAAGCAGACATTTAAGAAGCATGCCTCTCTGCTTTCTACTTTTGTAACAGAAAAAGGGAAATGGATACCACACTGGTCAACTTACTTCATTTAAAATACTTTCTAATGTTGGAGGAGTATCAACTTGAGGAATATCAAATTCTTTGTCGTCAATCTAGATAAAGAAATGAAAAAAAAATCTTTAAACTTTACTGGGATGTAAGCTGTCGGCTTTTCATAACACAATGCATCATACTCCTAATACTATTCTCATTCTAAAACTGACACTGTCCAACGAAAGGTTGTAAATTGAGGACTAGCTGTATTTATGCAGCACTCTGAAGCCCTGTTCACTCACCTTTTTAGAAATAGGTTCATACATCATTCAAAGCCATTTTGCTACTTGCTTTGGACATGTCTTGTGTGAATGTATTATGGTTCAAGATATTCTCTGGGAGAGCCATCTGATGCAGTGGTTAAGGTACCAGGCTAGATATTGGGAGACCATGAATTCTATTCCTGCCTTAGGCATGGAGTTAGCTTGGTGACTTTGGCCCAGTCACTCTTTTTCAGTCCTAGGAACAAAGCAATGGGAAACCGCTTCCAGAAAACAGTAGGGAAGAGTCCAGGCCATTGCCAGCAGTCAACAGTGTAGAAGACAGTAAAAAAAAAGTTTTACAAAAAAAAGAAAGAAAAGAAAGGAAAATCATATCTGAAAGGAGGACAATTTAGGCAACAAACTATGCTTAAACAAACCAGGGTGTAGCATGTCATATGAATACAGACTAATATTTTTTCAAAAAATTCTCAGGTTATGAACCAAGACTACTCTTTACATATATGGCTATTTACAGCTGCTTTATACTCTATGAAACACACATGAGCTATATATGTATACTATAACCCTAAATAGGAGGGTTACGGAGGATCCCCTGCAGGGTAGGGCTGAGGACTACGTCCAGTTCTTAGCGGACAAAGTTGCTCGGTTTCGGTCGGAGTTGGACTCCGA